TCACGGTGTGGCCCAGGGAAGACAAAGCTCACCTAAAGCTTCTCCTTCCCTTTTGTAACAGGAGTGGTACCCACAGCCCTGATGCTCCACAACTGTTGTGACAACTCTTCCCATTACTTTGTTATGCTTAATCCTTACACTCAAGCCGTGCTGAGATAGTCCAACATCACATCCAGCACCCAGCTGTGCCCTGCACCAGGCTGGGACCTCAAACCTGGCTCTACCATTGACCCATGGTGGAAACCTCTGTCCCTCAGTTTACCCAATCGTGAAACAATTCACAGGAGGGTTGTAAGGCTCACCTCTGGCTCTGGAAAGCCACTGGAGATCTTTCAGCTATGGGCTCCAGCAGAGGTGGGATGTAGTGTCATCACTGGGATGCAGCGTCACCATCACCACCTGCATCCCAGGGAGGGCGATGTACAGGGGATGCACAAGCAGAGGATGCCACCCTGCTGCTCCCTGCCTCGCCAGAGGGAAACTTATCTCTACTCCTCTCTCATCTGACTGCAAAAGGCTTTTTTCACTACACTGGAGCCCTGCAAGCTCTGGGCAATTCTCAGACCTGTTACTACACAAAATAAAACCCTTTTCAGCAGCAATGAGCCAGAAATGATTGTGGAGAGGAAGCAGCTGATCTGTGCTGCCTGATCACCCATGGCCATCAGCAGCATCCGTGCCTCCTGGGACACGGAGCCAAGAGATGCTGCACCTCTTCCCCCACTGCTTTCCTCACAACTGCACTGCGATTTGTGCTAACCTAGAAAGGACCCTCGGGTTTAAGGTGGCTCTTGGTGGAGACATTTTGAGATGACGCTTTCTGGGGAAAGCACTCCTTAAACTGCAGCTCTTCCCTCCTGCCTCACCCCCAGCTTGTGACATTTTACAGCTCCAGCAAAAGAAAATGCTTCAGAACAATCTCATTTTCAGCTTCGGAGGCACAAAACCCAGAGGCAGGGTGCGGGTACCAAGCGCTCAGGTGGGAGATGGGAAGAGCAGCAGCGGCTGCATACAAGGCACCTTTCGGAGGGTGAGATCCATCTCCGGAGTGGGAAAAGGCTCTCACACCCTCCATGGCAAAAGCTGCTCGCTGCCAATCACCCAGCCCAAGAACCAGTCCCCTGGGGTCAGGATGATGGGCTCAGTGTGATGCTGCAGGCAGTGCTTGCTGGCTCTCCAGCTCCCAGAGGCTCTTGTGGCTTCTCCCTGCCTGCTTCCCTCTAGGAATTTAACAGGGCAATGGCTGTCAGGAGTGACAACATGAGGAGTGGATTGCCACGGGCATCCATTCCCTGGTTCCCACAAAGGGCAGGATACTCTGTCACATCTTTGTGTTACACCTTTGGGATGGGGGGAAGCAAAATGCTGCCCTGACAGCGAGGAAGGGACTCTGCATTTCCCAGTCTGCGATGCTTTTCAGCAGAGAAAGGAATTAGGATTGTCCATATCCAACACAGGGAGGATCCATGGGGTTTATGTGACATATTTTGAGCAGGGAAGAAGGAAAGTTTGGAAGCAAAGGGGGGAAACCGGTGCAGAGGTGTGGGGCAGTGAAAGCAGCAGCTCAGGTGGTACCAGCGAGGCACCTGCTCACTGCTGCTGGGATGGAGACAGGGGCAAATTAAAGCAATTAAACCAGGGAGGTAAATGGAGCTGTAAGGCCTTTTCAGGCTGCTCTCTTCAGGCAGATGAAATATAGTCATCTCCTGTGAAAGAACACTTGACATTTCTCCAAAGGAGGGCAAGCTGCAAGAGGGAGCTGTCTAACACTGGAGATACAAAAGAGATTGCAGTCTTCATCTGAATGCTGCTCTCTCCCATCCCCAACTCACAAGGGTCACCCAAGTGGGAGAACACTGAGGGCAGGGATGCTATGGGAGAGAGAACTGCTCACACATCTCTTTGGTGTGCCTGTGGAGAGATGCTGTCCTGCTCGAAACAAATCTGGCACCGCTTATCCCCCTGGGATGTGCATCATGGCACAAAGCAGGTGGAACCATTAACACTGCTGCAAAATGAGATCTTCATTCCACTCACATTGCACTAGTGAAGGTGGAATATCCCAAACAGGCTTCAGACTAAGGACAAAGCCCTTCAGGCCATGCTCGCTGTCTTGCCAGCCAAGAGATGGTTCAGGCAGATGGGACACAGTGCAGGACAAGCAGATGGAGCAACAAGAGAGGAAAGACCTCCAAGGAAGCGAAGGCTGTGGGTAAGCAGCATTATCCCACAGCAGTCTGGGATGACTTGGGAACATCAGAACCCAGACGGGCTGCAGAAACCCACCTGAGTGACGGAGCCACTGATGAGGATCTCTGGGAGGTCCCAAAGAAGAGGTCACATTTCAGAAGAGCAGGAGATGACACTCAATATCTGCCTCTACAAATAAAACTCAGGGAAACCCACTGAAACACTCAACCTACATGAATACAGACAGAAAGTAACAGGGGATAAGAACCATCTGACATGGGACGGGACCTCTGCGGTGGGTGGATAGGAGAGGAGCAGATGGGACCCATCTTCACTTAGCAAGGCTTCAACACTACCTATCAGGAGCTGCTCCCGGTGGCCGTGGGCTGTGCTGACACCTCTTGCAGGGCCAGGCTTCCTCACACAGACATGGGTGCTCTTGCTCACAGTCTGCTGAGCATGACTTCAAGGGAAGTCACAAACTCTTCGGAGAGCAAGGCTTGAACTCCAAAAGGCATTGAGAAAGAGCTGGAAGCATCGCGAGAGGCAACTCATCAAGGATTATGGCACAGTGCTGAGCCTGAGGACACAGCAGCCTTCCAGTATCTGAAGGGGGCCTATAGGGATGCTGGGGAGGGACTCTTCATTAGGGACTGTAGTGACAGGACAAGGGGTAACGGGTTCAAACTTAAACAGGGGAAGTTTAGATTGGATATAAGGAGGAAATTCTTTCCTGTTAGGGTGGTGAGGCACTAGAATGGGTTGCCCAAAGAAGCTGTGAATGCTCCATCCCTGGCAGTGTTCAAGACCAGGTTGGATGAGGCTTTGGGTGAGATGGTTTAGTGTGAGGTGTCCCTGCCCATGGCAGGGGGGTTGGAACTGGATGATCTTCAGGTCCTTTCCAACCCTAACTATTCTATGATTCTATTCTAATCCAACGAGCAAAATAACCCAAAGCATTAGGAAATTCTTCAGAGCATGACCTGGTGGTGGAAGTGAAACCCAAGCTCAAGGCAAGTGTGCAGCACCAGGCTGTGGTGGGGTGTCTGATGTCCCCTCCGAAGCCTGCGGGCATGTCCCTGTGGTGACATGGGTGAGACCAGGGGAAGCCTGGAAGATGATGACACAACTCTGGAAAACACAGCCATAGATGGAAGCTGAAAGTAAATGGATCTGCTTAGTTTAGAGGAGAGAGGACGGAGAGGAGACATGAGGGCAGCCCAAAACCATGTGAAAGATACTGGGAAAGGGCTGGTGCTAGAACAGGACAGAGTGGGATGGGGATGCTGGAGGGATGACCCGCACCAGCATCGCTTCAGGAGCGTCCCTGTGTGGGAATGTGCATCACTGTGAAAGCTTCCCCAGGATCCCTAAAACCAAGGGCTTGGCAAAAAGCAGAGGAGCACATCCACAGCCTGCCTGCCCTGAATCTGGGCTCCGAGGTCTGGGATGCAAAGGCACCCGATGGAGTAGGGAGAAGCAGCGCCCGCAGCAGCCACAGGTCAGGCTGCCTTCCCATGGGCACCACCGGCCCCGGCAGCCCCAGGCTATCACTTTTCAGCTGCAAATAGCACGGGCACAAGGCCTCAGCTGGGGAGCAGAGCACTGAGGAGCCCAGACTGTGGTTAGCTATCAAAGACAACTAAAAAAAGATATTCCACACACAGGAGGATTTTTCCCTGTTATTTTTTTGCTGGGCTTTTTTTTTTTGTCTGGGTTTTTTTTTTCCCTTCCCAAGGATTAAATCAACTCAACAGCCCCTTTACAACTTCCCTTTTGATGTGTTCAGCCTCATTAAAGTTTCATTTCTCTCTCTGTTTTCCCCGGGGGGAGGAAGGGGAGCGTACACAAAAGTTTACTTCAGCAGCAGGGCCGGCAGCTGCAGGAGCAGCTGCTGTTGCTGTGGGACAAGCAGAGCCTCCACCAGCTTTGCCCAAGCCCCTCAGCAAAGCCTGGCTCCCGCGGGCAGCCCCAGCATCACGATGCTGTCAGCGGTGTTTGTGCACCCAGGGTCACGCACCACGGAGGGAACGGGGGAGCTGCAAAGCTCCTGCGAAGCCTGCGAGCTGTGGAGTCCGACCCTGTGAGGTTTAGGGTCTGACCCTGCCAGTTCTGGGGTCCCTTCCCAACCTGCCTGCTTCCCTCCTCCAGCCTTTCCCCCGCGCTTCACCCATCACCCCGGGATATTCCCACACACAGAGCGGATGGGTAGCAGCTCCCCCACGTCGCTTCTTTTTTAGCCCGAGCAGCTGTTTAAGTGTCTATTTTAAACCTGAGTTCCCTATTTTAAAATAGCTAATGAGACACGGGGCTAGGCCGATAGACGTCGTCGCTACGAGGTCTGCGAGATGCTCCTCTGTTCCCCGAGCTGCTTTTCCAAGCCAGGAACCTCGCATGCCCATCACACTTCCACAGACAGCTTACACGGTAAAGAGGGAAGGTTTTAGTCCAAGCTCTTGCACCCCTGCCATGAAACAGCAGCAGAGCCATGTGTTTCTAGACCGAGATGCATCAAGCAGCCAAGCAGAGGTGGTTCTGGGTGGTTTTCTCTTGGCAGGTTTTTATCCTCCCTTTGATTTTATCAGGTCTTTCTAAAACTTCCCCAGTAAAGAGCAAGCAAGGAGCCGGTCACCCGGCACAGCAACCTGCTGCACACACAAGAGGGACTTCCAGCAAGCAAATGCCTAAGACAAGATGCAGCAGGAGGTCCCCCGCATCTCTGTGCAAGCCCAGGATCCCGATGCACTCCGAGATGGTGTCCATCCCACCAGGACAGAGAGAACCAGGCACATGGGACCCCACTCACTTACCTGACCACAGGCTCAGGAATGGCCTCTGCACTCGCTGGCACCTGGACACCCTTCTCCCACTCCTGCCTCCAAGGATCAGCCAGGATGTAGTACTCATCAGGGCTCAGCTGGAAGGAGTCAGGGATCTTCATGGCTGTTATCAGATCCGTACGGAAAACCTGCACCGGAATAAAGAAAAGGTCCAACAGGCAGAGTGAAGGGGTCTGGCAGAGGGTGCAAGCCTGGCTGAGACACAGACCGAGCATCGCTACTGAACTGAAGAAACAAGAGGCTGCTTCCTCTTAGGGGATCAATGTTTTCAACATAGGCACAAGAGTATCCGCTCCAAATGCCCAGGGATGCGCAGCAACTGGGCTTCTCCACACCAGCCTTACTGGGGAAAACGATGCTCCTGATGTGAATGAAGCTGTGGGAAACACAGAGCCCTGACCACCATCATGTCACCTCACTGCCCCCAACACCTTCGTGTCCCCATCACATCACCTCACTGCCCCAAGCAGGGACACGTAAAAGCTGAAGGTACCCTATCATCAGGGCTCAATTGCTCCAGTGGTCACCAAGGATCACAAGGCAAAATATAGCCATGAGGGGTTATGCTACAGCTGGAAAACATCCACTAAAAGGTGATCTAGGTTCCTGCTTACACATCCACAGCCAAACACACAGATTTCTCCTGCCCCAACAAACCTCCTGTGATAACCAGCCCTGGCCCCCTCCTCTATGAAAACCCTCCGAGCCCCTCGGACAGTGAATGGGCTTGTTCTCCACCTCAGTTCTGGCCCTGCAGAGTCTTCTCCCAATATACTCCAATAAAAAACTGATTCCAAAAATACCCCTCACAGTAAATAAGATTTTCCTTGCAGAGGATTGCCTGACAGCAACGACTCGAGCAATCCTGCCTCTTGCAGCATAAAAATAAATTGTAAATGAAAATGGATGATTTCTTCCTCTCCACCATCTGCTATTAGCTGAGATAATAACTAACAGTGCCAGCAATCATGCCTGGACACCAGCTCGCTCTGTCTACCCCATCCCTGCTTCTTCTGCATTAACCTTCTGTGGGGCTGGGATGGATCAGGTGTTCTCTTTAGACACTGTTCAATTCCCAGGGCCTATTCCCCAAATGAGTATTGCTTTGTCAGAGCCACAATAAATGATAAAATATGGCTTGACACCTTCCATACAAAGATAACTGCCTTTGGAGAGAACTTGGGAAACCAAGTCGGCTGAGATACAGGAAACCAGACTTTAACTAAGACCACTGAGACCAGTATTTAGGTCAGTTTATTTAATCCTCAGAGTCTCAGCTCCTAACCCAATTAGAGTTAAATATAATACATAAACAACCTTTTCCATCTTGGGTCCTCTTTGAATCTTACTGGTACCTCTTGATGCATCTGCCTGGAGGTATTTTTGCCTATGCCTATATAAACCTGATGTGAGTTGGCCAGACACAGCCTCAGCGCATCCTTCAACAAACATAATTAACAGCCTACATATTACAGTCAGAATTAGGTTCAGCTTGAGAAAGATCAGGGTCCTTCAAGTCTCTGTGCTACAAACGCATGGATCCAGACGCCACAGTAACCTTTTAATACACTGCCAGTGTGAGAACTTTAACAGAATGATAAAATACGAAGCCAGACGTTAATTAAACATGAGAAGGGATATGTGAGATATCACAGCCCTTCTGGGGCTGCAGAGTAACACAAGCAAAGTAACCCTACTGTGGCTTGGTGCTTAAAATACAATGTAGAAACGCCCTCTGCTCTTGGCACCCCTGCACTGCCAGGGTCACAACTCGGGCAAACAGCATCTCCCATTACCGAGGTTTGGTGCCCATCTTCAATGAGGACAACACAAACCCAAGTGACTCTTCTCACATCTGACTGCTCTGCTTTGATGGATGAGATGCTCCCCCATGCCTGGACCACATGTGGCTGAGGGCGGTTTAAGGGATGGTGCCAGCTCCCTGCTCCAGCCACCAGCCCCATGTCAGGAGTGATGCACCACTTCTATACTGCTCCATTTGCCAAACTGTTATAGCAAACACTGTTTTGGAGACACTCACCCTTGGGATCTGTGGGCAAAGCCAGGTCGGAATGGCTTCCAAAGGTGCTGGGCACCCAATAGGTTTCAAACCTCCCTGGACTGGACCCTGCTGACATCCAAGTGCCCTCCACCTCCTTTACTGCCAACCCCACCACCTCCTGAGGACACCCCCTTCGATGCCACGGGGTGCAGGAGCATTGCATCACTCCTCTGTGGCACACAAACACACAGTTCCTCCAGGGCCCCACAGGCAGCACAGGGCAGGCAGCAGGCATGTTCATGCTGCTGCTGCAGGCACACGAGCTGGCAGCCAGCACAGGACTGCCCTTTCCAGCCCTCCAGAGGGACCAGCCATGTCATAAATACCCCCGGCATCCTCTCTCCCTGGGATGCTGGCACCCAGTGCAGCACCTTTCTAGAGCCTTACCCCAAACAAGGATCCCCACTCTCTTTTGCAAAGTCAGCACCAGGCAAGAGCCTGAGAGGTGGTAAGCCCCATCACTCTGCTGTAACACCAGGCGTGGGCAGCCACAGTGGATTTATGTCAATGCCTGGCCCATCACCTTCCTCCTGCTGATGAAGAGCATCACGGAGGCGCCTGAACTGCATCGTGCAACCTGCCTAAGGAGGAGCTGGCAAAGCTGCTGGGGAGCCTGGTCCCCCCAAGGGCTGCTGCCCACGGGTAGGAAATAAACCAGATCCTCATGTCAGAAACTGAACACATTTTGCCCTGCTTAGAGCTATTACTTAGGTAACCTCCTTAGTGCTCTCAGCTGTCAGCTGGGGTCACGGCTTTGGTGGTCCAGCACCCTGGAGCATCCCACAGGCAGCTGAGCTGCCCGTGCATCCCACACTGCTCACCACCACTCTGAACCAGCAGGACCAGCCTCACCAATGCTCTGCAACACCCTCAGCAGATGCAAAACCCTCCAGCAAACCGCCAAACGTCCCTCATAGCCTCTGCACTGGAAAGCGCAGCACGGAGATCAGCCCGCGGTCTCATTTCTCCCCCCTGCATGGAGCAGATCCCAGGCTCATGTTTTCCTGCATTAAGCCTTCCCCAAACTCATCCCTTCTGGCTTTTCAGCTCACATCGGCGCAGAAGCTTAGTCTTAATTTTAAGCCAAATCAGCGCGATTGTATCTCTTTCCCTGCCGACGATAAGCCACATCGAGGGCTGGATTTGCAATCTCACGACTTCATTTATTTAGTTCCTCCTTGGAAAACAGATAAGCTTGCCCATCCAAAGGCAGCGTGCGCGGCCGCGCTTTATCACCACGCCGCCTCTGTCTTTTCATGAAGAGCTGGGAATGCTCAAATTATTAACTATCAAAGCAGAACACTTTAGAAGCGAGCGGAACGGCACAGAAATTGTAAAGGAAAGCAGATCAGTTGTCTGGAAATCTCCCAACAGCTAATACGCTCAAATTGTAATCTAAATGTCTTTTTGTTTTGAATTGTCTGGGATTAGGGTTGGGAAAAGACTCAATTATTCTACTCAAACTCCTCTGAATTATTTATGAAAAGCAAATAAAGGATAAATTGGGCACTGATGAACCGAGGACCTGGCGGTGAAGAGGAAGTTGGGTACCAGAAAACAAGCAATTTTCCCTCAATAGAGTGTTTACTGTTTCTCCCCGGCTGCAGGAGCTGACAAATCGTCTCGGCTGCCCCGCTCCCCCCCTCCCCAGCCCTGGCCAGGCTCTGGCCTCCCCTTCCAGGCCGGCAGCGGATCCGGTTTATTGCCTATCGATCCGTGGCAACAGCGAAGGCCAAACCGAGACGTTCCCTTTATTACCTCTGCTTGCTCGGGAACCGCAGGCAGGATTCAGTGATGCTCGGAGATGCATCACACCAATGCCCAGAGGCCAACCTCGCCCTTTGCTAGCATCAGCTTTAAAGATGGGGAAAAGAAGTGCAATTGCAATAGCCCAAGATATGCCTTTGTACTGCTCCCCAGACCAAAGAACTACTGGGCAAAACCAGACCCGAGCTCATCCCTCCTGTCCAAGCACCACCAGTGCCACCACAGCCTGGTCCTGCAGATCCAACTGCTCCAGCCTGGCTTCATTTCTAAGGTCTGTGAGCCTTCAGGCCTTGGTACTCACATCTCACCAGCCAGGCAGGCTTGTATTGCAGACCTCTATCCCCCCATCCTTTCATCCCACCAGCTTGCAGTGCTGGAGTGACTGTCTCCCCCAGGACAGCTGGTCCTGGAGGTTCAGGAACATCAAAAGTCACTGGGACACCAAAGCCATCACATTTCACAAGGATACATCAGCCTTTTCTGTTACTTCTGTGATCTGCTGTTGAGAAGCACAAGCTGTATTGATATTATCTCAAAATAAAAAAATCCCCCCAAGCTAATTAAATATTACATATCTTCACATCCTAATGCTTTACTTGGACCCAGTTTGGTGTGGGAAGGATGTTCCTGTGGTTATGGCAAAGACTTGCAAGGCAGGGGCTGGATTCAGCTCCTGCCTGAGCCACATGCCCCTTGTTTAGCTCCAATCTACTGCTTCACCCATCAGACACAGCCATTCCCTTCATCCCGAGATGGCTGCGAGGCACCTCCATGAGCTCTTCGTGGACCAACATCTACTTGTCCAACACCTGGACCACCTCCAAGAGAAACACCTACCCCTGGAAGGAGAAGCCATGGTGCACAATGCCTCACTATGAAGGGAAGGGCAATGGGAATGCCACACAGCATCACAAACTGCACTCCCATCCCTCCCTTAGCAGAGGGTTCCCAGACTGCAATGCTTTGCAGCTGCATTCCTTCTCCTCCTCCTGTGTCCTCCACAGCTGACCAGCCCCTGTCTGTACTTCACCACCTTTCTGTGCAATCCTCATATTGATTTCCAGGTTCTCTGACTCACTCACAATCCCTTTGAACAGAGTGGCCCATCAATCTCACCACCATTCAGCTCTCACTTTATGTGCTCTGTCAAGATCTCAGCTTTTCAAGTGGCTGCACCATTGGTCTGAGCCTGCCAACTACTCCTTTAACTCCAAACACCAACCCGAAAACATCACATTCAGATCCTGCAGCAAAGACTTTCCACTCATACAAAACCAGCTCCTGGGCTGGAGCCAAAGA